TTCATCTCCACACCGGCAGACCGGGGCAGACCGGGGCAGACGCCAGCAGGCTGATTCCGCGCTCTGTCTCTCTCGCACCGCCGCGGATCGCCCCACCGTCGCCGTTGGTGCGAGAGAGACAGAGCGCGGAATCGCTCCGCAGATTGGATGGAACCTTGGCACGACAACGCCGGGGATTTACAGCGTACGCGTGGCCGGCCCGCCGCGCCGCCGCGGCCCAGCCGAAGACGACTTCACTAAACTGCGACATGCAAGCACGCGAAAAAGAGGAGGGCAGTTTGGCGCAGGCTGCAAGTTTCAGCAGACTGAATCCGAGAGTCGTTTTCGTCGCTCTGTCGGACCTAAACGGGACGCTCCATGAAGGCGAGAGAGACAGAGCGACGAAAACGACTCTCGGAATCAGTCTGCTGCTCCGTCCCGGCCGTCCCGGGCCCTGCAAACCACGGCCCCTCCCACGGCTACCCACCGCTAGAGGCCCACCGCCAGTCGCCCGGAACTCTTTCATCCATACATTCATCCCGTTTGGCCCTTCGACCGGGCGGGCCGCTCGTGCGAGGTGCGTTTTCACGTGCGTTCAAGCAGCCAAGCCCTCCAGCCCGCTCCAGCCGGCTCCAGACCCTTGGCCCCGCCGCCCCGCCGCCGCGGCCGTTGCTTCCTGGACCTCTCGCACTCCAGAGTCATCTCTGCCCTCCCCATCTGGAGTGAAGTGCGCGGGAGCGGCGCGCTTTTGTGGCGCTTCGCCCCCCCCCCCCCTCCCGTCTCTGTTCTTTCTCTAGTCTGGTGCGGCTTTTTACCCGCACGATGTCTACCCCTCCCCCTTTCTTTCCACTTCCTTGCTCCCCTATCCCGATTCCCTAAACCCTTTCCCTTTCTGTGGCGGCAGTATGCCTCCCCCTCCCCCGCGCTTCCACGCGTCGGTGGTTCGACACCACCGCAAGGCGCCGGCCCCGAACCCACGCGGCCGTGTACCGGCAGTTTTCTTTTCCTGCCGCCACGGCGGCGGCGGACCGATTCCGAGAGTCGTTGCTCTGTCTCTCACGGGGCGTCCCGAACGGGTGCGAGAGAGACAGAGCGACGACTCTCGGAGACAGTCCGCTGCAAGCTGGCTGCAAAACGGAATCAAGGTCAGAGGCCTCGCGGCCCCGAGGGGCCCGGGGGGCGCCACCTGGGCGGCACGACGCCCTGGGGCAACGACCCGGGTTCGACTCCCGGCGCCGCCGTCGAGGGGAAAACGGCCGCCCATTAAAATATGCCAAATTTATGAGTACGTTTCGTGTCGTGCTTTGCTCTCCGCTCTGCCACTGCGCGGCTCCGCTCGGCTCGGCTCCCCACGCGCAGCCGCGGCGCCTCCCTGTTGACGGATGGCGCCTACACTCGCCCCAAAAAACGGCCCTATAAACCGCTCCACAAGCCGCAAATAAAACAGCAAAAACCGAGGCGGGGCGGGGCGGGGCGGGGCGGGGCGCAATCACGAATCTTGGGGGGCGCGTCCCGTACTGTACGTCCAAAACGCAGCCCCGTGCGGCGCCCGGCTCCGCCGCCGCAGCCCGGGCCGAAAAATATATCGAGGGAAATGGGCCCACGTAGTGCGGCGGGGCGGGGCGGGGTTGGGCTGCGGTGAGGCGGGGCGCGGCGGGGCGGGGCCCCAAACCCCTCACGTACCACTGCGTAGCCTAGCCTAGCGGCCAGCTTCCGGTCAAAGTATTGTGGCCCGTGCACAGTGTGCGTGCTGAATATTGAAAAGCGCGGTGCCGATACTCCGCAGAGGTAACGGTACCGTGGGGCCTTGGCTCCAGAGAGGGAGAGGGAGAGAGAGAGAGAGAGAGAGAGAGAGAGAGAGAGAGAGAGAGAGAGAGAGAGAGAGAGAGAGAGAGAGAGAGAGAGAGAGAGAGAGAGAGAGAGAGAGAACCGCTGAACCAGCGAAAATATTTTTTTCTGCTCGTCCCACATAACGGTCGGCCCGGGTTTGTCGATCTCTACAAGTAATAAATGTGTTATTCATTCCGATGGCCTTCGTGAGGGGGGCTTCGCGCGCAGGCCGTTTCGACACCCCTCTATGACGTCACGGACGTACGAATGTTTAGCGGTGTGGGCGTGTGGGCCGAACACGACCGTCACGAATGCGTACCGCAACACACTGAGGGAATGCCAAAGGTGACTTGCAGTGCCCTGGCATCCCTACAGTTTACAGAGCCGCCGAACCGCCGGCCGAAATAACGACAAACAACAGCACACGGCCCGCCGGCAATATTACGGCCAAATCTGTTTTACTTCCCCGTGGGCGTAGCGGCGTCGTGGGGCCGTAATGAAACGGGACTACACCTCCGCCCCCCACCCCCACCCCTCTCACCACGGCGCGTGGAGGCCAGGACAGCGCCGGACAGAATGCCATGGATCCTTGCCCGGCTCGGCCCGGCCAGGCCGGCAGGACGACCGGCCGCCCAGGCTGCGGCCGAGGTTCGCTGAGGTTCGCTGAGGTTACAGTGGGGTGGTGGGGGTGTCTGCCCTTCGGCCCCCAGCGCCCTGCAAACCAACCCCCTGCACTCCTTTTCGAGCTGTGGTCGGGCGGACCGCCGCTGGCGCCTGATTGCGTTTCATCTGGTCATCCCTCCCCCTCCCCCGGTCTCCTGTCCACACACCCCCCCCCCCTCTGTCCACGCCCCCCCCCCCCGTCCACGTCCCCCTCCCCCTCTTCCGGTGTCAGTACCTCGGCGTCTTAGCAAGACAAGTCCCGCTCCTCGACGTCTCTCCACTCTCCTCTCGTCTCGAGTGAAGAGTCCCTCACGGAGCGACACGCCATACACCACGTCCTTCGGGCTTACCTCTCCTCTCCCCAACATTCCTATTTCTTTATTTTCATTTATTATTTCGTTGCCGCTTTGGGGGTTTTATTGCGAACAACTAAGAAAAATTTCATGCGCGTATTATTCGAGCATCAAGCTCCATTTCCGGCTCTCAAACATTCATCCCGTTATTTCCACCCTTCCGCGTCAGTTTTCATTTAAAAACCGGCGAAAAAGCGTAAAAGCGTGATTTTGCCTTTACTTTTTTTGGCAGGTGTTTTGAGGTCACAGCGCGGCCCCGGTCTTTTCCAATCCAAAGCCACATCCGAAACTCCGCCGAATCACTCTGGAATGAGGGGTCTGAATCTCCGGTCTGAATAAGCCAATTCTACAGTTTGGCTAACGTCGACCGCGTCTAACGACGATAAAGATTAAACAAACAGCAACATTTCTTTTATTTTTTTTCGGTCGGCATCACGAAGGCCCTCCACGTTGCGCGTCGCCTCATCTGGCGGCGCTGTTTGCCGTGCTGATGGTCTCTGTCTCTCTCGCACTCACGGGGCGTCGCGCAGGGTGGCGTAGGGGTGCGAGAGAGACAGAGCGACGGAAGCCTTCTTCGCGAAGGGACGCGCGGACGGCGGTGGAGAGTCTCTCTACGCACCCGAAAGGGAAAGAGATCCGTCCCGTTAGAGAGAGTCTCGAGTTCCGGCGCCGAAAACACTATCGGGGGCCGTGCGTTAATCGGGAGAGAGATGGTGGGAGGGGGAAGCGGGGTGAGAGAGGGATAGAGAGAGAGGGCGCTACTGGGTTATCATCGCGAGCAACAAAGAGAGTTATGAGGATCAGTTTCAAGTTGCCGCCGGAGGCAGGCAGGCAGCCAGCATGCCGGACAGACGGGCAGGCAGGCAGGCGGGCGGGCCGCGCTGCCGCAGGGTCATTTGGAGTCCCTAACGACCTCCAGTCTCATAAAGAGCGCCTCCATGGCCAGGCCTCCAGCCTCGGGCCTCCATGGCCAGACCTCCAGCCTCGAGCCTCCATGGCCAGACCTCCAGCCTCGAGCCTCCATGGCCAGACCTCCAGCCTCGAGCCTCCATGGCCAAACCTCCAGCCTCGGGGCTCCATGGCCAAACCTCCAGCCTCGAGCCTCCATGGCCAGACCTCCAGCCTCGAGCCTCCATGGCTCCATGGCAAATGTTGAGATAGATGTGTGCTGATTGAGTGTTCCCGCTGAAGTACCCACGATACACTATGGTTGCCAACCTCGTCCTGCACTAAACTTTGGAATCTATTGCAAAGCGCAGTATGAGTTTGCAAGCATATTGGGCACGGGTGCATCCTTATCGTGGCCGCGTCTCGAAGAGTGAGACAGCGAACAGATCGCCAAACCTAGCTCACTCGCCTACGGGTGTCGTAGACTAGACAATCGGACGGCTAGGTTAGGCTACGAGTTGGGCTCTTGACAGTGGCGTGGGTCGTTTCGCTCTGGGTGCGGTGGTCAGGGAGTGGGGGAGGGGGCGACCTTTTGGAAGGGCGCCAGGTGCCGGGGCGTCGCACAGTGTGGCGACTAATGACAAAAAGCCATTCAGCCAAATCAATTTCATAAATCTGGAGTGGAGACGCGCTGCGCTGTGTGCGCCACTTGGAGGCTGCAGCAGGCGAAGTAGTGCCAGTTACACGTTACCTTTTGGTGTGTGTGTGTGTGAGTTCATGTGCGTGTGAGTTCGTGTGCATGTGTGCGTGTATGAGTGAGTGCGTGCGGTTTTTCCGGCTCTCTCTCTCTCTCTCCCTCGTAGAGACGTTACTTTTGTTTACCCGATTGAAAAGCTTGTCCGGCCTGGCCCGGCCCTACTCGCTGAGGTGGAACTGGCCGACATTGTGTCGGGGGCACAGGGCCGACATGAGGGCCGTGTATCCGGAAAGCCCGCGCCGATCGTGATGCCGGCTCAACTTGCCGGCTGCTGCGCCACTGAATCCCTCCACACAGTGGGCCAGAAAGACCGGTGGAGGCGGCCAAAACCCCAGACGCGTTTTGGGCTCCAGAGTCGCTTGGCAGGACTCGAACCGAACGTGTGACCCCACCATTGGATTGCTCTCCGAACGAGGAATCAACTGGTGGGGTCACACGTTAGCTTCGAGTCCTGTAAAGCGACTCTGGAGCTCAAAACGCGTTTAGAGTTTTGGCTGCTGACGGCGGTGGTGGTCTTTGTGGACACTCACCTAGGATTCCCAGTCTAAAGTTGAGGGTGATGACGATGAGGCGGCCGTGCGCGGCCAGCACGCTACCGTCGTACGGGTTGCCCGAGTTCCACTCGTACGACTCGCCGTGCACGTACACCACAGTGGGCAGCGTGGGCGAGTCGAAGTCCGCTGCAACAGAGGGAGAAAGAGAGACAGAGTTAGAGAGGATCAGAGCGGCATTAGTGAGACGGGAGTGGATGGGGCACTCGTAGAGCCCAGCGAGGATGTTGATGTGGAGGATGAGCCGAGCAAGAGGAAAACGATCTTGTTCTTCCTCGAGGGCGAAAAGATGGGATATTTTCCGTCAACATTCACTTTACATACAGTGTAGGTTCGGTTAGCTTAAAAAGGTTGGCAACAACTGGACCTACACACTAGATCGTGGCAAGATTTCTCTCGCACTAGTGTAGCCGGGTCTCGTTTTCGAATCTCTTGTTGTCGACACTTGACGCAGGAGGCGAAGCAAAGCGTGGTCGAGGACACACCGCACGACACTTAGATTAATTGAACGCGCGGGAGGGGGGGGGAGGGGGAGGAGGAGAAGGAGGAGGGGAGAAAACAAATGAAGGCCGATGAATGCTCACACGGAGCCAATGGTGTAGCCACTGAGCTCGTGGACAGAAGATTTAGTTCCTGGCAGGGCTGGTAATCCCCCCCACCCCCTTTTCCCCTGGACCAACCCACATCGAGCACCTCTGGCCGTAGTTCCAGCAGAGAGCATCAGTCACACGGCACAACATGATACTCCAGGCCAGCTACATTACACGCATTACTACATACACAGCACCCAGGTTCGTCTGTTGATTAAAACTAAAGGGATACTCGAAACAACAAACCGAACCCGTTAGAGATGTTGCCGCACAGTGGGCCAGAAGACCGGTGGAGGCGGTCAAAATCCCGGACACAGGAGCTCCAAACACGTTATGAATTTTAGCTGCGCTCCACCGGCCCGGCCCACTGTGTGTCGGCTGACTGACTGACTGACCGACGCTCGAGTGGGCCCAGCGTTCGCGAGGCTTTAATTTTGAATTATTAAGTCAGTGGCGTGGCCGACTTGCGGTCAACCTCGTCACACTTTACCACCGCTAAAAAAACAACAACAACAAACAACAAAAACGCTCCGCACTCAATGTGTTGAGGCCGCGGTAATTGAAATGAATAATAAAGGCGCGGAGGTCGGCAGCGCGTTGTCTGCTTAGCAGGTGACAACCAGTGGGCTGGCCCCGAGCGGTCGCTGTCTCTCTCGCACCCCTACGGAGCGCCCCGTGAGTGCGAGAGAGACGCAGCGACGGCGGCCGCACATCGCCGCGACGCAAGTCCACGCCCGTTTGTTCGCTTTAATTGTTTTCGCTTGAAGGACAGCGTTGCCACTGCCTAGTCTGCGCAGTTTGAATCCTACGAGGCCGCGGTGGCCACGTTAACGAGGAAACATCACTTGACGGCGGCGCGCCCCGCCCCGCCCCGCCACGCCCCGCCACGCCCCGCCTCGCCCCGCTACGCCCCGCCCCGCCACGCCGATGAAGGGTGGCGCGGCTGCGTGCGAGAGCGCCGACCGGGGCGTACTTTGGCCGGGGACGTCCCTAACTTGGTCCCCCGTCGGGCTGCCTCGAAATAACGGAGGGACTGACGGTAAATCAAGGCCCGGCCTGCAGGCGGCTCGCGGTTTTCGGCGCGGCACGGCACGGCACGGCACGCGCGCCGAGCACGCACTCACAATTTCAGACGGCGCTGCGCTCGCGCCGCTCGTTTGTCCGCCGTGATCCCTCCGCCCTCGTCTGGGGTCCGAATTCGCTCCGTCTCTCTCGCTCCCCCGGGGACGCGGCCGGCGCGGCCGTGGGTGCGAGAGAGACGGCGCGACGACAGCGCGGTTCGGAATGAGCGCGCCGACCGCGGCACACAATTAGCTGCTCGCCACGGCCCGGCCAGCCAGCCGGTCTGGGCCTGCCCGGGCCCGGCCTGCCAGGCCTGCGAGGCCGGTGTGGTGTTATGGCGGACGAGATATATGGCAATTTGAGCAACTTGAGCGCTCGGCGTGGCAGGGTGGGGCGCGGCGGGGCGCGTTTGGTGGCAGACTACTGCGAACCGCCCCCGCACCGCTCCGCACATCCCGGCCCGGTTGCGCGCCCCGCCCGGCCCGGCCTCGCCTGGCTGGATGGGCATTTAGCAAGTTGGCAGCAGTGGCTGGCGGGGCTGGCAAGGCTGGCGGTGACCGGAACAACTCACTGCTCCACTCAAGGCTCGCGCAATCCCAATTTCCAACACTCTGCGTGGAACGCTCAACCAACATAGCGCACTGAGTAGTACGCATACTCCGGTCCGACAGGGGCCACAAGACCAGTGGAGGCGGTTGAAATCCCGGACGGGTTTTGAGCTTCAGAGTCGCTAAACAGGACTCGAACCGAACGGGTGACCCCACCAATGAGTTGCTCTCCGAACGAGGAATCCATTCCACGTGACACAATGCTCGAGGGAGCGTGACAATCTATCACCCTCGTTTCAAACGTGATGTAAGGCTCCTCGTGCATCGTGAGTGAATCGTGAACCAGCAAGAGATAGCCGTTGTTTTTACCGCACTCCAGTTTCTCCATGCCACACGACGGAGACCTTTTTTTGCAGTGTCCCCTATGGAGTTGTTTTTTTTCTCGCAGTGTCGCGACGCGACATCATTTCATTTTTCCCGCGCTTTTCTACTTTCCTGTAATATCACTACTCCAGCCGCTGCGCGCCCTCCGCGCCCTCCGAGCTCCCAGCGCCGCCGGCGTGTATCCACTTACGCCCAGGTACCCCCGCGACGCGGGGCGGCTCGGCACGGCACGGCACGGCACCGGCTCGGCTCGCGCTTTTCCATAGAATTGGATGTCGGGCTCGATTTTACCCTTGAGCCATCGACGGCCGCCCCGCCCCGCCCCGCCTCGCCCCGCCCCGCCTCGCCCCAAAGACACGGCCGCGTGCTTCGCGGGGACCGGTCATAAACTACGTGACCTTTTTAGGGACGAGGTGAGGCGCGCACGGCGCTGCCCTCAATCTCCACGGAAGGGTAGGTCAGGTGGGTCGCGGAGGGAGGGAGGAGGAGGTCAGAGCTTTGCGACCCACCCCATGAGCGCGAACGTCAAAAACCGAAAAGCCGAGTCGCATGCATTCAAATAGCCGCTTTTTCTCCCGCTCTTCTTTTTTTTCGCCGGACGCCGTTGAGGGGAGTCGAACCGGCGGAGCAATATCGAGTCGCTCGCGCGCTGCCCCATTGTAGGGCCACTGCGAGGACACGAAGGGCGCAGGGCGCGGCACGTGTAGCGAAGGGATCGGGAACAGAGTATACAGTCCCCTTTCCCATGACCCCTTTGTGAGACCTTGGCGCGAGGGGGACGGTCCGGGTAGTGGAATGCACACACACACACACACACACACACACACACACACACACACACACACACACACACACACACACACACACACACACACACACACAGAGCACGTTCGCAGCAGCTAGTTTGCACAGCTGCCACAACTTGGGCGGCAAAACTTGACAATAGTGCCAATAGCGCTGCTGCTGCTGCGCGCGGCGCCGCAGCGCATTGTTTTCGTTTTGGAAATCTAATATGCCGCATTGGCGGCGAATCCGTCAGACTAGAAACGCGACGCGGCGCGCGCGGAATCCGAAAACGGGGCAAACACGGCGACCAACTACCAGGGAGTCCCCCCCCTCCCCCCACTCCCAACCCCCAACCGCTTTTTTCCGCTCTCTTAACGCCACCTACGTGATAATGAAATAAACAGGGGCTCGCTGTCACGCGCGGACCGGAAGGAATCTTCGCTCGGGGAGCACCTTTACGATTGTGGGGAAGCCCCTCGCCGACCCACTCCATGCTTATCGTCTTCTTTATGTCTCTCGGCGACTAGCAGCGCCTCAGCAGCCAAGGAGGAGGAGGAGGAGAAGAAGAAGCATTCCGTGTTGCTGGACGCGGTGTTCACCGCGACACTGTAACTGTAGGAAAACCCTCCCTTCTCTTATCCTTCACCACCACCGCTTGCTGGAATTGAAATTCACACCGCGGCGACGCACCCACGCTCTGCAGACTGATTCCGAGAGTCGTTTTCGTCGCTCTGTCCCTCTCGCACTCATGGGGCGTCCCGAATGGGTGCGAGAGGGACAGGGCGACGAAAACGACTCTCGGAGTCCGTCCGCTACTACGTTGCGGCGCGGAGCAGCAAGGGCGCGACTTTTTTCAAGCGGAGTTCCGCGGCACACCTGCGGGGACCTTTTCCATATTCATGTCTTCTGGTGGTGCAGGTGGGGAAGCCTAGCCCAAGCCCGCCAGCCCGCCAGGCCCCGGGTAGTGCAGGATAGGTATCTAGATCCAACTCGGAAAGCAGAAAGCGTGCACAGCTGCGGGCGCCGCGGGCGAACCCGTCTTCTCGGTGCTGCCCCCGCCCCGCCCCGCCCCGACCACCATAGATATACGATGCCCCTTACCTGCACGCATACCACACACGCGGCGAAAAACAAAATCGCCCTGATGAAACTAGGCGAAGCACGCAAAAACACTGGAACCCAGGGGAAAGTTACCGCAAAGAACCGAACCAAGTTTCAGGGCCGCATCGACTCAGTCACAGCAGCAGCCGCCCGAGGGCCGACAACGGCTTCGTCGCTCTGTCTCTGTCGCACTCTCGGGCCGCCCCGTGAGTGCGACAGAGACAGAGACAGGCGACGTTCGGACGCAGGCTGCAGGTGCGCCGAGGCTGGTGCCGCGATTCGCGCCAACTTGTCGCGGGCGAATTCGGCCGAGTTTAACAGCTTTTGTTTACAAAGCAACGCCTGCTCTGTAAAATCATTCCCGGCGGTCCACCGCGCTGTCTTCTCCGGGGCAACGGCCTCCTTGTCCTCGCCCGCCGCCACCTGCCGAGCGGATCAGAAGAGTCGTTTCGTCGCTCTGTCTCTGTCGCACCCATGGGGCTCTCCGTAAGGGTGCGAGAGAGACGGAGCGACAAACCGCTCTCCGGAAACGCTCGGCTGCACCGGCACGGCGGTACGGCGGCGCGGCCCCGTGTTGTTGGGGTTGTCCTTCGGCTCCTGGAGCTAATCCAATCCAACGGGTAGCGAATTAACAGTGTTGGGTCGAGTCTCCCTGCAG